CTTCCTCCTCCTACCACCGCCACCCCCCTTCCTCCCCCCCTTCCTGCCCCTGTTACCTTCTTTGGCCCCTCCTCCCCCTAGCACCACCGCTCATACAATGCAGTGGCTGCTGCAAGTCCTGTTGAGAAATTGATTATTGAGAAATCGATTTCTCAACCCAATTAAAATTCAGTTGTTTTGATATATAAATCTTTAAAACCCTATTTTGATTAAAAAAAATATTATTATTAACATAAATTGCAAATTTTAAAGCCATGTTTTTCAAGGATTTTGAAGTTCAGAGTGAAAGCAAGAAAGGATGGTAAATTTAAAAAGATGGGAAAGAATTCTCTCTTGTTATAAATAAATTTTCTCTGATTAAACCAGCGTTCAATAAATTGTATAACATTGAGTTTTTCAAGTGGCTTGCCTCGTCAACTTTTTTATTTCTTTCTATTTTTATGGAAAGTAAAAAAAAAAATTAACTGAAATCAGAAAATTATAATAAGAAGAAAAAAAAGAGATGACGTAATCTCTTCTATTCAAATGTAAACTCTATTGAATTTTTACTAGATTCGTTAACCAGTGCCTTAGCGTGTCATAAAAACGTCCCCCCTGTTAAAATTTAATAACTCAAAAAATTAGTAAGAGTAACTTTAATTAAGTAATTATCATATGGTTAATCTCTGTTTGGGAAAAGATTACCATTTAATATTTAATTACATATGTTTTCTTCAAAAAAAAAAAAATCCCCTTTAATGATTTAACCTGATCACTAATTTTATAAACGTTTAGCCAACAAAAATTCTGTATATTCTACTTATTAATAAATATGAATGTGTCATTTTCGATTTTTTTAAATCAAAAAATACTTTAAAATATATTTTTTCTCCAACTCTATGTCCCAAAATATATAATATATATATATGTTGTAAAGAAGATGAATGGCATATCCAATCCCATCCAACCATTCAGTTGTAATTTTGAAATATATATATATAATTTTTATAATGTTAATTTCTTATCATTCCTCGTATATTACACGTGGTTATAAAAAGACTACTTTTTTTTAATGTTTATATCTTTTTAATTAAATAAATTTGTTTTCATATTTTTCATGTGTACCGTTAGATGTTTTGAGACCACGTCGATTCTAAAATTAGTTTATGAAATAAGAGTTTTTTTCATATTTATATAGTAATTACTTATTTATTTTTATAATTGATATATAGATACTCAACATTTTTTTTTTACACATTTACACCAGTTGTCAAACCCTGATTGACACCATCAAAAAAATGTTGATATCTCAACTTTGATATTAATATTAGATAATTTTAAACTTTCTTAATATCAAAAATTAGCTTATAAGACTAAATTTTTTCTCATATTTATATATTAATCACATACCTTTTTTTTTTTATAATGGATGTAATTCTGGATACATATTTTGATTCTTTTCACAGTTCACCTCTCGGCCTACAAAAAGCGGAAAGAAAGAAGAAAAAGAGAGGAAAAAGCCATGACCAAATCAAAAGCAACAACGGAGGTCTACCAGCCTTTTGATGGTTATTTTTAACTAAATCTAATAAATATCTTATAAAATTGGTTCAATTTTTACCATGTACACGATTTTGTTTGACAGGGTAACTCCTATCTAAAGGTAAACGAGTGGTAAAGAGTGAAAAAACAAAATTAATTATGCTAAGTCTGGATCCTGGCGCTTTCCTTGTCTAGAAAACTTTAACAAATTTGAGGCAATTATCTATTCACCCCCAGGGATTTAGGTAATTAAACTCGAAGTTCCTATATTTTAAGAATATTTAATATATATATATATATATATATACATAGAATTGCGTGAATTGAATGTCTAGAGTTGAAAATATTTGACATAATTTTATATAAATTACGGGTTCAAAAAAATCCTGATTTAAACTCTCTCAAGGCTTTAAATTAGAATTTTTTGGATTTAATTCTTAAATTTTCCTATTTTTCTGGAGAATAAAATAATTTCTAAACTTTAAAAATTCTTTTACATACTAAACATTTTTTGATTTTTGTTTAACAAAATTTCAGCTATTCCTAAAATCATAAATGGCTCAAACTGCATTACTTTGCATCTATTTCACCTTTCGGATGATCTAACCATCTTCATGGAATAAAATGCAAGTTGTTTACTATGAGAAAATCAATAATCTCTATAAGTTCATGTTAATTTTCCAGTTGATTTTTGTCCGAGTTAAATATTCCAATTAGGAGCACCTTGTATTGAGTTTGTCTTGTAATGCAAGAAATGCAAGTGTGACAGGTCTAGTTTCAGACCCCAAAGACCCGTCCACACAAGCTTGATGCGATGAGGCGCAACAACGAGAAAGGTAAGCTAAGCTAGCCGGGACAATGGACGGATGGCCCATGAGCACTTAAGGTCTTTAAGTGTAGAAGACCATGACCCTCGGCTTCGCTCTAAGGAAGGTAGTAGGCAACATCTTATTAAGGCACCACAAGGCCAAGCCACTTGGGGAGGTAAGTGGATGAGCAAACTAGTGGGTAGAGTTGCTAGCATGCCCTTAGGTGCTCCCAGTTAGGAGGATCAGCTAGACCAAAACACTTAGCCTTTGATAGGATCAGCAAGCAAGTGCAGTGGTACGTACAAAGGCGCGGCGCAACGCAACGTGGAGCACGGCACAAGCCTAATAGGTTCCAGCAGGGAACCAAGGCAAGTCTCGACCTGACACCAGATTAGTCCTGTCAAGACCCTGAGATGCGACCCAACAAGGATCTGCACCTCAACTCACGAAACAACCCGATCCCATTCCGCGTGGACCCATATGAGTATCTGCACCCCGAACCGAGGCACGGCGGCCATTGCTATAACGGCTATAAGCCCACCCAAGAGTTTGAATTTGAGTTTTGAATTGCCTAGGTGCCATTTTGGACGACCCAATTGTCTGTATAAGGAGATAGGCACCCCTTGAGTTGTATTCTTAGAATCTTTGGCTTGTATTGGTTTACCCCAAGTTAATAAAGTGAGAAAAGCTTCCATCACCCTCTCTCTCTCTCTCTCTCTCTCTCTCTCTCTCTCTAAACTTGTGTGCTTTCATTGTGAGTGCCGGTCAAGTGAGCTTGAGTGGGCTATCTTGGTTGTGTGATCTAAGCAAAGGAGGGCTGAGTGTGAAGGCTTGAGGTGTCGCCCATGTTTACTCTTTCTCTCTCTCTCTATTTCTTCTTGCTTTCGTTGGGCCATGCACACTGAGTGGGTGAGCTGGCTATTGAGTTACTTGGGCAGGGGGAGAGTGCGGGTGTGCTAGTTGAGCTCGTGGGCCAAGCACAAGCTGGAGTTAGGTTGAGCAGAGGCGTGGTCAACCTCTGCTGTTGCACGGGACAGGTTGTGGATGCTGTCGGCCGAGCCACGATTGTGAGAACCCCGTAACATAAGCATGTATGATTTTAAAACTCAAAGTTTTGGGATAAAATTTATGTTTTCAGCAAAATTTACAAAAAAAAAAAAAAAAAAAAAGAATTAACTTTTTTTGAGTAAAAAACACAACCCTACTTCCAAATTTATTTAAATAACATTTAACTTTATTCTTATCATAAAAAAATATTTTTTCTTTTTAACTAATTATTGACTAATGATTGTATAATAATTTGGTTAAATAAGAGGTATGGGTAATACAATTTCAGCTGTTTTGGTAACCTATTTAACTAAAAATTTAAATATTATTTAATTTACATAAAAAATTATTATTTTTAATTTCTTATTTTTAATTTTTAAATTAAATTTTAATAAAATTAAAAAATCTAACTTTTGATGATTTATTTTTTTTTATTGTTTAAATAAATTTTTTACCATTATATTTTAGTTTTATTTTAAATATTGAAATAAGAGTGGGTTGAGTGTCATTTAAATTAAAAAATTTAAATAAAAATTATAGTATTATAAAATAAAAATTACAAAATAGTAAAATTATATTATCAAAAATTAGATTTTTTGATTTTTTAATTTTTAATTTTAAAAATTAATTTTTTAAATGAATCAAATAATATTTTAATTTTAAATTAGATAGGATAATTCAAGCAAATGAAATTGAATTATTCTAACACCTTTTTTAATAAAATTCTTAATCAGTCATTAGTTAATATTTAATTAAAAGAAAAAAGTATTTTTTATAATAAAAAAGAGTTGAATGTTATTTAAACAAATTTTGAAAGATGAGAGTATTTTTTATCATTTTTTTAATAAAATGAACTGATCACCTCTGAAATAAAAAAAATTAAACAAATATAATATATATATCTAATAAGTGTGAGTAAATACAGTGAGACACTTGTTTATTTATAAAAATTAATTATATTCAATTTTATAAAAATATATATTTAAAAATAAACAATTATGCACTCTCAAATAATTTTAATTTTAAATAGTAAAACAGACAAAAATAAATGTAATAATGGCAAAAAAAAATACAATAAATGTGCCAATTCAAACCGACCCGACCCACGAATGTGCAGGCACGTGGCACGTTATACCCGACACAACCTACACGATGCTGTCAATTTAACGACCCCAGCCGTTACCCACCATGCCACCACCTTTCAATTTTCCCATACATTTGTGAACATAGAATTTCATAACAAATATATAAAAAAAGATTTAATACAACGATAGTCTACCCGCCAAGTACGTAATGTTGGGCGACCTTCTCATCCGCACCGAGGCACAATCTTGCCCTAAAAAACTGCTTCAGAGTACGTTTAGGAGCGGAGACAAATATCTTTTCATCTCTTTAAATGTACTGAGAGTTATCCTTGTTACTGGAATGGTTCTGTTTCTCTGGAGTTTCGCTATGGCCGTTGCTTAGCTCTTCAATTGTGCTGAATTTCTCGATTTTTGCATCACTACAGGTTAGTTTGGGGTGGTTACTGGTTAGACTATCCGCAGAGAAGTGGGCATACAAATACAAGTGTGAGTCGCAAGTTATTTAATCCGTTACTTGTTTGTCTCTGTAGCGGTGGAAATGAAGGATACCGAGATGGGAACTGAGGATGACATAATGGAGGCTCTGAAGAAGGAAGCTGTGGATTTGGTACTCACTCTGTCACTGCTTTCTCCGTTGTGTTACTTCTACAACGGTTGTTTTGGCATGATTGCGTGTGCTTGCTTTGATGGTTTAATATTGGTTCTTTGCTGAACTTGTGTACGAATTTGGTTCGCAGGAGAACATACCGATTGAGGAGGTGTTTGAGAATCTGAGATGTACCAAAGAGGGACTCTCGACTCAGTCCGCTGAACAGAGACTGGCCATTTTTGGTCACAACAAACTTGAGGAGAAGGAGGTGCATCGTTTTGTGCTATTTTTCCATGCTTTCCCCTTTTTCTTTTTTGTTCCGCAGTGATGTTTATGATGTTTTCCCTCCTTTTAGATTTGTTTTTTGTTTTTATAGAAAATTGAGGTGTTTTTGCTTTAGTCCTTTTCGTGGTATTTTTCAGGAAAACAAATTTTTAAAGTTCTTGGGGTTTATGTGGAACCCGCTTTCTTGGGTCATGGAAGCTGCAGCTATTATGGCCATTGCACTTGCCAATGGAGGAGTAAGATTCTTAGTTGCCCCTTTGTTTAATTGATCACTAAAATTTTATATTACTTTTGCTTCCAAGTAATTAAAATCTCTTTGGATGAGTCTTGTTATAATTGGAATTGGTGGAAGTTATTTTCCTGAACGGATAGTGAAATTTTGGTTATCATCATTCTACCTTCTTTTTTGTTATAAGTCGCTTATGAAGCAAGAGGAGAATTCTCCAGTAATTTTGATTATATCTGGATGATTTTCCCCAAAGGAATTTTGAAATCCTTCTCTGCAGGGAAAACCACCTGATTGGCAGGATTTTGTTGGATTATTACGCTGCTTCTTATCAATTCTACTATTAGTTTTATTGAGGAGAACAATGCTGGAAATGCTGCTGCAGCTTTAATGGCCCGACTAGCACCAAAAGCAAAGGTGTTGGACTTTGTACAGTAGTTCCTTATGTCTTGTGGTTTGTTATTAGCTTTTGGTCTAGTGCTTTCAATGGGTTTTTTTAAGGGAATTGACATTTCCACTTTCACTTATACGTATAACTTACTTCACCTCGTTACAGGGGCTCAGTTATGAGTTATGACTTGTAACACGTCTACTATCATATAGTAATTGATTTTGAATGTGCAGGTACTTAGAGATGGGAGATGGATTGAGCAAGATGCATCTGTTCTTGTTCCTGGAGATATAATTAGTGTTAAACTTGGTGATATAATCCCTGCTGATGCTCGTCTCCTTGATGGTGACCCATTAAAAATAGACCAGGTGCTGGTTATTATCATTGTTGTATTAATTAAAGAAAGCTGAATTTGTCTTCTCATCTCTATCTTACTTGGGTGCCTCTAATTGAACTTTTGCAGTCTGCACTTACAGGCGAGTCCCTTCCTGTGACAAAAGGCCCTGGAGATGGGGTATATTCTGGGTCCACTTGCAAACAAGGAGAGATTGACGCAGTGGTTATTGCCACTGGTGTTCACACCTTCTTTGGTAAAGCTGCTCACCTTGTGGACAGCACAAATCAAGTTGGCCATTTTCAGAAGGTATAGATATTCAAATACAAATTCAAATATAAATCTAATTATTTTCAAGAGCATTCCATTAAGAGAAAAATACAAGACAAGAAAACAGAAGTTTGAAATACTAGCAACAAAATTCAATTCCTCTCAACTAAGTGTTTTTCACAACCAGTTGGACTGGTTAAAGGATTATACACCAAAGAGTCAGATCTATCAGAAATGGTAATTTTGGTATATTTATTTATTATTTCAATTCAGGATAATTTGATCTCCATCACCCTTAAGTATGACTTTTAATTTATGTTATCACTCTTTGGTGAAAGAATTATCATTTATTTTTTTAATCTGTTCTTAAATTTTTGACTAATTTTTATAAGCACTCTTTACCTCTTGATAGGTCTTGACAGCCATTGGGAATTTTTGTATATGTTCTATTGCCATGGGTATGGTAGTAGAGATAATTGTAATGTACCCTATTCAACATCGGCCCTATCGTCCAGGAATTGACAATTTGCTGGTACTTCTCATTGGAGGAATTCCCATTGCAATGCCTACTGTTTTGTCAGTAACAATGGCAATTGGTTCTCATCGTTTATCTCAGCAGGTAGGTTAAAAGGGAAATTAAATACATTTCAATAGTTTTAGTATGTAATAGGCCTTCATTTTTTTTCTTATTAACTATATTATAGGGAGCCATCACAAAAAGGATGACAGCAATTGAAGAAATGGCAGGCATGGATGTACTCTGCAGTGACAAAACTGGAACTCTGACATTGAACCGTCTGACTGTTGACAAAAATCTTATTGAGGTGTCCTTTTTCCTTTTCTTTTCTTTGTTTCTTTCCTTTTCTCTTCTGGTGGGGTAGTGGGTGTGCCAGGAAGTTTTCTTGTGTTTGAATTTCGGTTTTCTTTACTGTAGTCCCTCTCCAATGTTATCATGTATTCTCCTAGGTATTTGCTAGGGAGTTGATGCAGACACTGTAGTTTTGATGGCTGCCAGAGCCTCCCGAATGGAAAATCAAGATGCCATTGACACTGCTATTGTGGGGATGTTGGCTGATCCAAAGGAGGTATGTCATTAGTGTCTGAGTTTTGATGATGCAGTGCAAATAAATACATGCTTCTGATTTCTAATAGCAGAATCAAAGCACCATGGTGTTGAGTCAGATATTACATACGAATAACTTTGATTTCCCAATTTCCATCTAATATCGAAGTTTCCATTTTTTCTTGTTGGTTGACAAAAGGCACGGGCTGGCATTCAAGAGGTTCACTTCCTCCCATTTAACCCCACTGATAAGAGAACAGCTCTGACATATATTGACAGCAAAGGTAAAATGCATCGAGTCAGCAAAGGTGCCCCTGAACAGGTATATTAATCAAATGCTGTTTCTGTTAATCTTGAATGTTAAATAATTTACTGATTTTACTAATTCAGACATTCGGTGTGATAATTAGATACTGAATCTTGCCCACAATAAATCTGAAATAGAGCGTAAAGTTCATGCAGTGATTGATAAGTTTGCAGAGCGAGGATTACGATCTCTTGCTGTAGCTTACCAGGTACTACATATCATTGTCATTAGTTGCTGGGCATTCTCTGCTACTCAACGTAGATGTTTTAGCACGATATTGTCTCTCAGTTTTTGGTTATTCTCTCAAGTACTTGGTGCAAATGTCTTTGTGAGTTTCTATGCATTTGATAGGTATTTTAACATTTTCAACAGGAAGTTCTTGATGGTATAAAGGAAAGTCCAGGAGGTCCATGGCAATTCATTGGCCTCATGCCTCTTTTTGACCCACCTCGTCATGACAGTGCAGAGACAATCACAAGGGCATTGAATCTGGGAGTAAACGTTAAAATGATCACAGGTGTGCATATCTTTAATATGAATGTGTTTCTTTTTGATTGTTGAAGTTGAACCATTGCAGTAGTAAATGCTTTAATTGAACCATTTATTTGATAACACTCAAATTTAAACAACTCAAAAGTATGAAAATATAAAGGGCAATATCAACTTACATTTTAGGTAAAATTTTTTACTAATTCTTTTTCTTTTTTTGGGAAAATTCACGTATTATAAGCTTTTCTGAAAGGGTTATAGCTCTTTTCCAGATGTTTGTGTTTGTGGATTTGAAGTTAAAATATTGTTAGTTTAGGTGATTATAAGAATAGTTGATGTCATTATGCCATCAAGAAAAATCCTTTATGCCTTCACAGTAATCTGCATGACACTTTTTAACCCTTCATTAGGCGATCAACTGGCAATAGCAAAGGAAACAGGAAGGCGTTTGGGAATGGGAACCAACATGTATCCTGCATCTGCCTTGCTAGGTCAGAACAAGGACGAGTCAATTGTTGCCTTACCAGTGGATGAGCTGATCGAAAAGGCTGATGGTTTTGCTGGTGTATTCCCAGGTAATTGTTTTTAATTATTTATTATTTTTGTTTGGTGTTGTGGCCTTTTCACACCTAGGCATTGGTGCAGAGTGCCTAGTTTTTAAGTGAAAAAGGTTTGATACCTTGAATTACTTTGTAAATGTAGCTAGATCACTTGACCTAAAGGCCAAACATTTTGTCATCTTTTATACGTGATATGTTTCAATTTTGCATACAAATTAGGATTTTGTATTATAGTTACTGATCTTTCCTTTTTTTCAATAAGCACTTGTTTGATTGGCCTTATTTTATCTGTTGGTACAGAGCACAAATACAAAATTGTTGAACGTCTTCAAGCTAGAAAACATATATGTGGAATGACTGGTGATGGAGTTAATGATGCTCCTGCCCTTAAAAAGGCTGATATTGGCATAGCTGTTGCTGATGCAACTGATGCTGCTCGTAGTGCTTCAGACATAGTCCTGACTGAACCTGGCCTTAGTGTTATCATAAGTGCTGTACTAACCAGTCGAGCAATCTTCCAGAGGATGAAAAACTATACAGTAAGTGGTTTTCTGATCATTAAGTAGTTTGACAATTTATTTTAGCAGGAATACTGGTTAGTTTCTGAAATAGATCACGTCCTCCACAATGTAATGCATATGAAATATTAAGTGGATTTAATATATGGTTCAATGCCATGTTAATCCCGTTGTTTTTTTACTTTTCTAAAATTCTAGTACACCACAGCCATAGGATATGATTCTCCCTAGTTTCTTCTTCAATAATTTCTTCCAAAGTAAGAATTGTTGGCTAGTAAATCATAATGATACATGGTTACAGGTAAAATTTTTCTTATACATGCTTAATGATTAGTGCCTACAGTCTGAATTCTGGAGAGAAATGTCCAGTGGCATGACTTTTTTTTTTTTTTTTTGGGGGGGGGGGGGGGGGGAGCGCATTTTCCAACAACTTCTATCCAACATTCTCTGACTTCCTTAAGTTTGTCACCAAATGGTACTATCACCTCCACTCCTTTTGCTACTATAATAGAAAAAGAAAAGAGTCATGACTCATGCTCCATGTAGACACATAATATTTTTTGTGTTGTCAGAAGAATGATGCCCTCAACAAGTACTGCTTCTGTCACATTTTAGTAGCTAATTTCAGTTATGTGTGGGATTTTTTTTGTTGCAGATTTATGCGGTGTCTATTACAATCCGTATTGTGGTAAGTGTTTAATTTTCGATGCTCACAGAAAGCAAGTTCTGTTTGTACTTCTATCACTAGACTGGATGAATTTTTTGACGGGATTCTGTGTTATTGCTTTTGGTTTTCCTTTTACCTAACTCCTGCTAATCCATCTTGATAGCTTGGTTTTATGTTACTTGCCCTAATATGGAAGTTTGATTTCCCACCCTTCATGGTGCTGATCATCGCCATTCTCAATGATGGTTAGTTTTTTGACACTCTGAAAGCGGCAGATTCCTTTACTTTTTCACTTCCCACATGGAAATTAAAATAGTTATATGTACTCTTCCATAATTGCATTCCAGGTACCATTATGACAATATCAAAGGACAGAGTGAAACCATCTCCTCTGCCAGACAGCTGGAAGTTAGCTGAGATTTTTGCAACTGGCATCATCCTTGGTGGCTACTTGGCCATGATGACCGTCATTTTCTTCTGGGCAGCATACAAGACAAACTTTTTCCATGTCAGGAAACTTACAGCCATATGATGTTAAATGCTTTATTTTTTTCATATTATATTATGCAGTATTCATATAGGTGATAAATCTGAAATTGTGGGTTTTTGGTCTGATCTTTTGCAATTATGAAAACACAATTCATGTAGGCACAATTTCAGTCCCTATATGTCATTAGAGCGATCGTTCTTTTTAGCCCTTCTAATTTTTTACTGATCATACTGCTGAATTCATGAGAATCTCAAGCTGAAACACTTGGTCTTGACACTGTCTTTATTTTTGTCTCATTTCTTGTGTAATTTCCAGCGTACATTTGGTGTTCCTACCCTCCATGGAACAGCTTATGATGACTTCAGGAAGCTTGCATCAGCAGTATACCTTCAAGTGAGCATCATCAGTCAGGCCTTAATATTTGTGACACGTTCTAGAAGTTGGTCTTATGTTGAACGGCCTGGCCTTCTGCTTGTGGGTGCTTTTGTTATCGCTCAGTTGGTAAGTAAACTTCTGATTCTCTTTCTTCTATTTTTCTTTGAATAATATTTTCCAACCACGATGCAAGTTCTCCTGATTACTTGAAGAAGCAACTTATGCTTCTCTTTTCTATGCATAGGTTGCTACCTTGATTGCTGTTTATGCAAATTGGAAGTTTGCTGCTATTGAAGGCATTGGATGGGGCTGGGCAGGCGTGATCTGGCTTTATAACTTAATATTTTATGTCCCGCTTGATTTTATAAAGTTCATCATCCGTTATGCCTTGAGTGGAAGAGCCTGGGACTTAGTTATTGAGCAAAGGGTATGGAGGAGATTATAGCTCAGTTGAGGTTTCACTTACTGAATTCCTTGATTTAGCCTGAGGTGCTTTCTTTTTAAAATTGGTTATGCAGATTGCTTTCACAAGGAAAAAGAATTTTGGAAAGGAAGAGCGGGAGCTTAAATGGGCACATGCACAGAGGACACTCCATGGACTGCAACCTCCCGAAACCAAGATGTTTGGTGAGCACAGTACTCACACGGATCTCAATCAGATGGCTGAAGAGGCAAAAAGACGAGCTGAGATTGCCAGGTAAAAACTTGAGCCCAGAATCAGTGATCTTGTAAACTACAAGTTTATACATAGGGGTACTTTTCTGTTATGGTACTCTTATCCTTTTTGCTTTGCTTTGACTTATAATGGAGCTGCAAAATCTTTTATTATGGGCTGGTTGCTTAGGTTGTATTTGATAATATTTATGCTTTTCTTTGTTTTTGGGTTAATGTTTACCACAAAAAAAAATTAGGACGGAGTGGGATGAAGAGTGGAAATGTTTGGGATGAGAATGGGACTGGGATCTGTTTTATTTTTGTAAACAGATGCTCGCAGAAATTTCTGTGAAAAAAAAAAATCAAGTACCAAACTTTTAGAAGTCATAATTAGTTTACAGGGTAAGCATCAGCAGAATTTTTTAAATCACAAACAAAAAAACATAAATGTTACTGGACAGCCTTAGGAAACTTTTCTTTTTCCTTGTTGGTGGATTTAAACATGAAAGCTTTGTTCCATTATACTTTATTTAGTCAATGCACAGAGATCTAAGTCTTACCTGTGGCTGATAGGACCCTATCCTATATACTACCACTCTCTTCTCAGTTAAAAGAAGCTTGTTCATTTTGTCAGTTTGTCACAATGAGGTAATAATGTCCCCGTGATTGAGAATTGAGCTTTTTTTAATCTTGTGATATTCTTCTTATCTTAATTCTGCGTTGTGGTAACATTGAATCTTTTCAAATTGCTTTTCTTTATTTTCTTTTCAAATTCCTTTTCTTTATTTTTGTAATTTTCCCTTCATAGTGTGTCGTGCAAGGGACAACGGTTCTATATATTATTTACTGGGTATGTCTTCTGATGACTCTCTCTCTCTCTCTCCAGGTTGAGAGAACTGCATACACTGAAAGGCCATGTTGAATCAGTTGTGAAGTTGAAGGGTCTAGATATTGACACAATTCAGCAATCATACACTGTTTGAGAATGATAGATAATTCTGCATTTTCGTATGTGTCGCTGCGGCGTAGCAAAGGATCGTTGAGCTGAGATCCTGTTGGCCAGCCGTATGCTGCTGGTTCTTGTTTTTCTTTTTTTTTTTTTTTTGGGGTCCCCCTTTCTTCCCAATGTTTCTAGATCATCTTGGGATCTTCAATTTCTTTGCTTTAGCTCAATATCCTGAAGTCATTACTTCTATTAAAACATGCTCTCCTTAAGCATATATAACTTTCAGAACTAGTCTGCTCCATGAAAACAAAAATTACGAAAAGATAAGAAGATCAAGTGTCAGTCATCTCATGGCCTCCGCTCATGAGTTGAGGGATTTGGATGCTCCTTTCTATACGGCAGTGGATGAGTCCATCTGGATTCATCTTAACCGTTGTGCAAATTAAATAATGGAGTTGAAAAGAATTCTCAAATGCCAGCACGTTTTCAGGTCACGCTTCGATTCATAACTATAAACATGACCACACCTCAACATGAAGGACAGATGGCTATAAATGTAATAATTTATAATGTGTGTAAGCGAAATTCATCTATTAGATGACATATTGGGGTAACTTAATTGTGGTAGGCAGCGATTCTCGTGGCGAAGATCCTCAAACTAAGACCTGACAATTTGCAGTGCAAGATCACAAGGTGACATTGAGAGCTTTAGAGCAGCGAATGGATCTCAGATTCTAGCATTTGGAACAATGCTTTGAAGAAATTGCAAGTCGAATTGATACTCTAAGTATAGAAGCCAATAGAAATTGGAATGACAAGAGGCCATGTATCGGAGATGGTATAACTCGCAGGTAACCTATTAACAGACATGATCTTGCAAATTAGTGTAAATAAAATATCTGCATGGAAGATTTAAATGAAAAAAATATTTTCTTTGCTAAACTAACGAGAAACACTGAATATGGAAGAAATAATTATAGTGAGAGAGATACCAATGAATTCAAGAAAGTCTAGTACTTAGTTTAAACTTCTTTTCATATAATTTTTTTCATTCATTTCTTTTTCTTTCTAGAAGTACTTTTTAATCTTGCCAAATGAAGCTTTTTGCTATTTAAAATGAATAATTATGTGTGAGAAATTTTTTTAGTAAGGTTTCTCATGTGCAAGATAATTTTTGAAACTTATACTAGATAGTAAATGAGTAAATGATTTATCACATTATAACTTTAAATTTGATTTAAAAAAATATTAAAAAAAAGAAAGAATTTCATTTTCTAATAAACGTACAAAAATTAAGAAATTACCTTATAAGAATATGATATATATTAGAATCATTTTTTCTCTTCAATGCTTAATATTTAGACTTTATTTTTTACACAAGTTCATAACTTTTTATTTATTCAATTTATTATTAAATTATTGCTAATGTTTAGGAATGTAATTATTTTATATATTATATAAATAATTTAATATATTATTATATATATATAATATTTGATTGTACAATTTTTTTTAATTTTAAATTTATAAAATTAAAATTATATTAAAATATTTGATCCAGTATTATCTAGTATCACAACCAATAAATTGTTTTAAAAAAACTTAACTTTCAATACAATTCAATTCAATTTGTTATACTTTAGTTAAGTTCAATTTTAAAAATCACAGGCACGCCTACTGCCAACTATATGTTGCTTTTGTTGTTATTGCAGCCACCGGCCCCCCCTCCCTTGCACGTACCATCTTTTAGTGCACCAGAAATTTGGCCACCTCCTCCCTTGTACCTATAGCACCTAGCGCACCAGAAATTACCCAAAATTCATCATCCCTAAATCAGCATTCCAGAAATAGAGGAAATCTGATTTCCCTCTCAAGTCTTCCGGCAGCTCCTTTTCCCATCAAAGGGAAGGGACACAAAATTCCGGAAGCCTATCCACACTACTCACCACCGCCAGTGTGATGTGAACCAATGACACCATAAACCTGACCAGATAACTTGAAACTACCAGCCTACAACATATTTCTCTGCAATTGTTTTCGGGTTTTCTAATATTTTGGTGCAAGAAGCAAGCAAAACAACCAGGATTGTCAGAAGTCATAACTCCTCACAAGTTATTATGCATGGCAACAAGGGCAAAAGGTCATAGAGGAAGTGGTTCACAAAGCACTCGGATAATCTTATTTTCTCCTGTTAGCAAGCAGATGAGCAAACTTGGCATAAATTATCACAAGAATACAAAAGAAGTTAACCAAACGGGGAAAAGCTGGAACGTTGAAAAGAAAAATTTATTGCAGTTGCTGTGGAGATACACCAATGGTCACCAGAGAAGATTACAGGGTCTACTGGGAGAAAATGGACTTGAGAAGTTTGTATAATTGCAGAATAAATATTCGTGTACATGTGATAGATACCACTTTACGGAAATGGAACTGGAATGCCTTGCTTCTTGTTTACAATAGCCATGGCCAAGTATCGAGTACCCATCCCAATGGGTGCCTGCTCATCCGGACCCTCCCAGAATGGGGCTTCACCTTCACCCACCAACCTCCAGTATCCTGATCTTAAAGACTCTGCCTGTTCATCTGTGCAGTTTTCTAACAGTGCTTCAACTCGGAAATTTATCCCAAGAGAACCAAGAAACTGAGACTGGGTGATCGGCCCGTGAACAGATACTTCTTCTGCAAAAATGGATTACTTAAATTCACAGAACCAAGCTTCACGTCTCTACAACTATTCTTTCTCAAATTTTTTTCCCCTGTAAGTAACTAGAAGTATGACAGACAACTAAGAAGGACGAGCACCTGAAACTTCTTCAGCAGAATGTCTTATAGAAGCAAAATCAACAAATGCACTGAGATCAGCAGTCCCAGGGGTATCTAGTATATGAACAAACTTGTGTTTTCGAATTGCCTGCAAATCTTCAAGAATACTATAATTAGAAAGCAGGAAAAGAGGAAAGACAGCCAAATTCAAGATCTGTGAGGAACAAGTTGGACATTCAGCAGTAAGAAAATTAAAATTATGAAGGAAAATAGTAAAGTTCAAGTGGAAGATCTATAAGTGAAATGTTGCTAGGAACTTAGCAGTATATTGTAATAAACACTGATGAGTTATCAGTCTCCATGAGCTCAAGTTAAAAGACACTAGAAGTTTCAGTAATATCAGAAGCTTTTCTAGTTATAGTAGAAAGTTGGTAAACATATGAGTAAGTGGTAAACCAACTTCCAGCGGACAGATGGTGTAGTACTCAATGTCAAGAGGGTATGGAGAACCAAACCATTTCCACTTTTCCTAAAACATGAGATCCGCTCAAATCAAACACCTAAGGATTTAGCTTTTACTTTCAAGAAAAAAATTCAATGACTGAAAACATAGCCAAATAATAACATTCCCAAGAAGCAAAGTAGGTAAATTAACAGCATGTGATCAAGTAAATGTGTGATTATCAAATGACAGGAAACAGAAAACAATTGATACTAAAAATATAAGCTTCTACTCTATTACAACATAGGTGTAACGAGATGGGCACCAGACCTGAAGACTGTCCGAAACTAATCCATTCAGGCCATAATCAATTATAAGAGCTCCACCCCCATCAGACCCTATTCGCTTTGCAATTGTTTGAGTCAGCTCCATTGCTTTGGGACAAACTTCAATTTGGTCAAGTTTCCCAAGTTCTTCAGCTCCAGCCCCCTTGCAGCGCTTCATAAGAAAGAGTGCAGCAGGTGTAGGTTGCGGAGATAAAACAAAACGAAACCTTGACAGTAAGAACAAGAACAAAATCATTCACCAAGAGAATTTTCTTTGAATTGCATGTGCAAAAGAAGTCAAGTATAGTAAAGATATGTCTATGAAGAATGCATGAAGAATCAAACAATGACAGGGAGATCCGAGTTTACGATGAATCTTCTGCAACATCAATCATTTTCTCACACCAGCCACGAGATGCCCGCTGTCATAAATTTTATGGGGAAAAGAAAAGGTGTTAATAGAATGTACAACAATAATTAACTAGCAATACAATCCCTTTGACGAGAACAAGATGACATATAAACAAAAGAAATATTTACGTGGAAAGAGCTTTTTTAGGGTATGAAACATAACTAAAAAGGAATGTCTTTGAGCCAGAGCTCTGGACTATGCGAGAGTTAGGGAAAGAAAGGCTGTTTTCTTGATATAAGCTCTTCAGTTAAGTGATAAAGGAGTAACCGCACCTTTGACACAAAGCTCACCCTCACACACTAACGGATCTAGGATTTGTCCATGAGGGGGCAAGAACGAATAGATAAGTCAAGTATATTAGAAAAAAAAATTAAACAATACTAAACAATCCATTAACTCTTAACAATAATACTTAAATTCATATTAAAGAATGCAAATCGCTACTTAATAATTAATATATTTCAACTTCATATTAAGCACTATAAGTGTCTTATTTACTTCTCAGATATAGTTGTTCTCAATAAATGGCCCAAGCAGTTATCATATTCCAGAAAAACAATAGGCATCCAGCTCTCATCCCGCAATTTTGTTTGTGAAAACCAAGGCTTAATGATTTGTCAATTTAAAATTGTGCTTCTCTATCCAATAAAAGAACTAAATTTAATTGAAATTGGTAGTTATTTTGATTACTCTTTGTCTGCCAAAGAGGTCTAAGACATGTCTCTCCACATTTCTCTTGCCACCTCTTGTCAGAAACAGCAAGTAGGAATGGAACTATGCAGCTGCAGAAGTTTATAAAATTAACATAAATTTGTTTTATCAGTTACTAATTGACGTGTAAGTTATTTAATTATTTTTGTGTAAGTTATTTTTTGTAATTTTACATTTTAGTCCTCAGATATTTGTAAAGCAGTCCTTCAATATTGTTTTTCTTCTATTTCAAACTCTTAATTAGTTCCATTAATTCTGAATATGTTTTCATTATATTTTCAAATTTTTTATTGATTCATGTAAGTCCTTCAATCAATCTACAAAGGCTCAATTTTTTTTTTTTTTAATTTGGGGGTGAGGGGGATGTATTTTATCTACTAAATGATATATTAATAAAAAAAATTTAAATTCAAGGGGAGACTTCCCTCAACATGGATCCATTATTGCCCTCACATAAAAGTAATTTTTTTTCCTTTTCTTTTCTTTTTCTCTTTGAGGGGAAAAAAAAATAGACCATCAATAGCAGAAGTGGAACCGTGGGAGCTCTTTGAGCAAGAAAGAAAATGCATTGTGCCAAGTCATTGCTTAGAATTACTAGAACAGAGCTGCAATGATTTTAGAGAATCTTCTTAAGGTTGCAACATGTTCCTATTATATACAAAACACCTGTGTCTATGTTTTCTGTGCTGGATAGGCACAATAGCCACGTCTATGTGGATCCAACCTGCATTGAGACCAGTCAAAGTTATAAGGCAAAACAAGCCTGTGGAATTTACCATGTGCCATGGCGGTCCACCAGCACCATGTCCAATCCTTGTTAAAAACTTAAATTTGCACACAAATTGCAGTATAGTCCCCTTTATTCTCCATTCCCTCAATTATTTTATATCAAGAAACTATGACTAATACGTTTCTCATCTCTAATTATGGCTAGAAGTTCTACAGTTCTTTCAGGGGCAAATAACTTAGTTCTGCAGAACGCACATTTGCTACTCAGGAAATAAAGAACAGGGGAAAAAGGCAGCCAACAAGAGGGGCCTAGTATGCAACTGTAAAATAGGAGTCACATATTCGCTAGAAAAAGTTAAAAATGAATCAGAACATCCATTATATCTGCACGTACCTGAAATTGATGAACTGGTAGAGCATCAAAAAATTCATGGGCAATAATAATTGTTGGCACTGAAAGAAAACAAAATAAAGGAGGCAAAATAAGCCATGTGGTCAGAAAAAGTGGCAAATTTTCTTTAAACCTGAAAATAATATGTATATGTATGACCATGCTTGTGACTGCAATACTGAAGTTGAGATACTAAAGGGTTTTTGTTTGACTATTAATCTACAGCAAAGCTTATCATGCAAACTCTACAGTACATTGTTTAATCAACACCTTGGTGCAGGAAGTATGTGTGCATATGAAATAAGCATCTACATCCAAATCTTTATTTACTGTCATGAATTTTGACATGCTGCCTGCATATCTGATGTTTGAATGATTGCAGCCACATCAATATTCTATGTGATGTTTGAGTGAATGCAGCCACACCGATATAAAACTTTGTTCATCTATAGAATCTCATGAGGAACCACAATTCTCTCACAGAAGCTATCCTATAATGCCATACAAGTTTAATGACCCAAAAACTAGAGAGATCTTCATTTTTAATGCTCATGGCACAACCTATCATGAATGAAGAATGAAAGTACTCAGAATACACCCACATAGTAATCACTAGCAAGCATATGGGATAAAATTACCAAGTATTAACAATATTATTAAAACTTGAGGGTAGGCAAGCTTGTGTCTGTTGGAAGGATGTCAATAAACAAGATCAATTTTATTTGATCTCTTTGTGTGCAGAAATTAAAGTATTGATATTATAGCTGATGATAGTGTCATACATCCTTTTGGAACTTGGTCAATTGTTGCATGCCATGATACAGGGGTTCCAGCCAAAGAGCTAATAACTCCATTCTCCACACTGGCATTAGAATTCTCATCAGCCATACACTTCAAGTTATTATATTGAATCTTCTGTAGTGTTGGACTACATTCAACCATGTGGATGTGCAGTGATTCTGTGAAGCTCTTAAACTTTGATGTACCCTGCAGGGAAGATATCTAGATCTTAATTTAAATGAAAACTACACTTTCTGACTTAACAGAGAAGAAAAATGGGCCAAAGGGTCTGCATTTCCATTTGCTTAAGATCCTGATGAAGAAATACTTAATGATAAAAATAAATAATTAGATTTTTGGTGTCTTACACGTATAAGATCAGCCATGAGCGTTCCTCTTCCTGGACCTAGCTCAATTAGGTTTACTTTTTTGGGTTGTCCCATTTGTTCCCATAAGCACATAGCCCAAACACCAACCAACTGAATTAATACAAACCAGACAAATGAAAACAATTATAACAAAAGATACAACAATCCCCAGATTCACTAGAGTAAAACATAATCAAAATTACCTCCCCAAACATCTGGCTTACTTCAGGAGAGGTTATAAAATCACCTTCTGCCCCAAACACATCCCGATTAATATAGAACCCAGCTTTAGGATTTGTCAAAACTTCCTCCATGTACTCTGCAACTGAGATTGGCCCACCACGGAACTAGAAACCACATTCAACAATAGCTAAGCGTTAGCTGATTTTCAAAAATAAGCAACTAGCAGAGATATTCTAGCAATATAGATCCTAGTAACTGGATTGCTCCATTCTGTTTTCCACTAATTGCGACAACCAAAAGTGAGTGCAGTCATTGTATTGAGATATGCAGATCATACTGGAAAAAGCATAGTTACTAATAGATCATGAATTATACTCCATATCTAGAAAGCGTCCACACAACATCTCCACCTTAAATTTTAAACAGAACACTCAAAACAAATTTTCACAAATACTTTATCTATGCTCCCGCAACAATGCAGGCAAGGAAGAAAATACTAAAAGTCAAAACATAAAAAACCTTAATAATCCCTTTGAGGTGCTTAACAAGCACAGAGTCCGGCGAAGGCTCGTGAGAATGTTCTGCAGCAAAGCGAGAAGTCATCATTGAGTAGCATTAAACAGCAGTACAAGTAGGCATGAATACGGACCGCATGAATACATTTACAAATATGAGTATATATACATATGTTTGCGTGGAAATAAATTTGAGAGAAAGTACCGGGAGGATTATACAAGCCAGAACGGTCTATGGAGACCGTGGTGGAAGGTTGAGCACTGGTTTCATGGGACTGATTCGAGCCCTCCAAGTGTTCGACGGAAGAACTGTTCCCAATTTGAGAGGATGACGACAAATAATGAGAAGAGCTTCGTCGAAATTCATGAGACACATAAGGGGAAACAATGCACCGCCGGTGTTGAGTGGCAACCTGCAGAAGCACCCTTCTCAACATGTCTGCCGAGCTCGGAGAATCCACCAAACTATCGCGAGTTATTTGAAATATGTGAACACTTGAGTAAATTATCTTGGAGGCCACGAATCTTCCCCTGGTTCCACTTGTGTCACCCGACTTCCAATTTGTTGCAATCCTGTTATCTTACTTCATAGTATGGTAGGGTCGAGCTACTCCATTATGCTTTTTGCTTGTTGTCACGTGACTATCCACGTGGACTCAACCTACTATGTAAAAATTAAATCAATTTCAAATAAAAATTAAAAATAGTTCTAACTATTCCTTCAACTTTATTAAATGTTTACTCCTTTTTCAAATTTCAAAATTTCCGTTTTCTCTCAACTAGGGAGTGTGAAATGCTTTGCAATTTTGAAATTTTACATTTTCTCTTAATTAGAGAGTGTGAAATGCAAATAGCTTCAAACAAAAGGGAATTTCAAGAATTTTAAGAAAAAGTTAAATTTAAAGTCCAAATATGTTAAAATAGTAAGATAGGTGTGGTGAAGTTGATGCCCTGGCATCAAGCAACCAACTCATTAGAAGTATTGATAGTCCGATTTGATTCAGTTTAATATTCAAATTTAAACAAAATCATACTTTATAATTTGTGATTTTTAAAAATCAAACTAAATTGTGGTTTATAGTTTAGTTTAATTTTGAACTATGGTTTATGATTTATATAATAGAATTGATTAAATTTATTATTTTTGTAAAATTTTAACAAAATTTTCTTAAAAATCGGACATCTAATTTTTTTTAACATATTTAACACAATAAATTCATTATCTATCAATTAATTATAGTAATTATATATTATATAACAAATATATTTTTTCAGTATAACAAAATTCGCTTGTACTAATAAAAGTCACACTCTAAAAAATAAAAATAATCAATTATTGAAATAAATATAAATATAAAAAATAAACTATATATATAGATAGATTTTCTATTTAATATATATATAAACTATACAGTTTAGTTTAAATTATATAATTTATCTAAATATCAAATATTAAATCAAACTGTTTAAAAAAAACATTTTTAAACCGAACCAAATCAAATCAAAATCACAATTTCATAGATTTAAACAGTTTGGCATGATTCCTAGAATATCCCCGTAACTTGTAAAAAGAATAACGGTGATAGTACTGTGCATGATGATTAACAACAATATTCATTTAGACATTAACGGTGACAGTGTTGTGCACGGTGATTAACAACAATATTCAGATTTGGAGTCACGAGGATAATGGCAATGGCACCAGATATAGATATTCGCAGTGATGGAGACAGCGTTACATATTAGAATGACAGCACAAAAGCTAGTTTTAAGGATGAATGTTAAATGAATCAAATATTAGCCTTAGAGAACCACGATGTCCACTTGATAGCTAGAAGAAGCCAAACTTTCTTCCCTTCTATTGTAACAATAAAAATATGTAATAAACCCTTTTGTGTGAAATGTAGGAGCACATAATTTTATTTTATTGTACAGGAAGGTCTTATTGGCAACATTTGACACGATGTTAATTGTTATATGTACAACAAAATTTTGAGAATTTTTGAATCATAATATGCTAAATGGAATGGAAAAAGTTCCCATGGATGTACCTATCAAAAGGGAACTCAACTTATGAAAAGCTTATTGTTGCAATAGAAGATTTGGAGAAAGCTTTGGTCCAATTTATAGAAGTAAATAAGTCATATAAACACAACCTATCACCAAAAGAATAGAAACATGTTAATTAAGGATTGGCTAAATATATTTTTTACTACCACATTCTGTTTACTAGGTCTTATTTTGTTAATTTAAATATTTTCTTTGCAATATAAGCAATGTAAAACTTAAATTAAAGAAGTGGGAGAGATACGAATATAAATTTTCATGCTCAGTGGTTATTCTAATAAAGATAAAAATTCCAAAAATATTAGAAAGAATTCAGCTTGGTGATTATTGTCAGAGGCCATTACTCTATTCCCAAAAGGTTAATCTAGTAGGTAATATAACACCCATACTTATAAGCTTAAGATTCTTCATTTTCCTATTCGATGTGAGATTCTTTCCGTGACATTCTCCCCTACCCAATTTTGTGACACCCTTGTCACAGATGGAGCTCCCTACCTACTCTACCTCGGGTGCATAACGAGACATCGGAGTCGGGTCCGGATTGACTCCGATACCACTTGTCACGGCCCATTACTCTCTTCCCAAAATATTAACCTAATAAGGTGTGCAGTACTTATACTTATAAGCTCAAAACCCTCAAATTTTTTAATCGACATGAAATTGTCTCTATAATATTATATTGGTTATTACTTGGGTTACGCGGCTTAATTCTTTTTCTTATACCGGAAGTGAGAGACGAGAACTCCAATTTGCTTGGTGGGATTTGCAAACTCGTTGGCTTTGCTCCCACAGTTCTACAGATGAGCGGTGACAAGACCAACGGGGGGAAACTTTGCAAACTCCTTGCATGGCTCTATTGCTTTATCATCCAAGTGAAGTATATACTCATTATTAATTGTTGTTTTCTCATTTAAGAAGAGAATGAGTGTATGGATCTAATTAATGAATGGACCAATGCATGATGAAATCTTGTATTTGATTTAAATATTCAAATATTGCAAGCTGTTTTAAGCTACTTATTTTTCTCTTATCAACTTTGAATGACATTGGCACAAGTTTATTTCTACTGACATGAATGGACTGTCATGTTCAACAGTTGTCTCTTCTGCAGATTAGTTTTGATTACTGGGAGCTAGTTTTGATCAATCAGGGAGGGGGGAATTTTTTTTTTTACTTTTTTTCTTTTCTATTATTTTTAAACTCAAAAACACTGAAATTTTGAAAAAAACTATTTCTTTATGTTCCTTTCATTCTCAAGACTAAATAATTTAGAGTTTTGGGAAAAAAAATTTTATCGGTTTTTTTCCTTTTTAAAACTAAGGACTTACTGATTAACGGACAACTAGCTTATATGAAGCAATGTGAATACCTCGGGAGCAAATAAGCTTAAAAAGTTAAAGCAAAGAAACCCATGTACTAGCAATAACTTTTCTTTAGGTCATTTTTTTATATTTAAATTTAATCTCTAGATATTTTGAAAAATATTTGTATTAAATATGCATAAAAGGGTTTCAATATATTCCTTTTTTTTTTTAGAATAATGTTACGCTTGTAATATTTTAAAAAAATATAATTATACTAATATAATGACTTAAACAAAGTATTCCACCGGGGATGTAGCTCAGATGGTAGAGCGCTCGCTTAGCATGCGAGAGGTACGGGGATCGATACCCGCATCTCCATGTCTGAAAGATTATTTTATTACCATGAAGGTTGATGTTTTGAGTTTTTATGGTCTTTTCTTTTTTTGTGAGTTTAAGAAATTAGCTTCTGAATGTTCTAAAATATCACTTAAATAATTAGTTATAAAAAATATATTTTATCTCTGTATATAACTTAAAAGTGACCATTAAAATGGCAGAATTTTTTCGTTTAAAAGGCTTGGGGTAATAAAATAAAATAATATTCGATGTTTCTCATAAAGAAATTCGAAAGATTTTATATCATAACATATAAAATTTGAAAACCTATAATATAAAATAGAATACAATAGTTCAGAATTCACTTAATAGGCATTTGAAACGGGAGTGTGGGTCTCTCCATTTTCACCTTTTCAGGTAAGCAACACGGAATGAGAAGCACTTAAAACACAAGCTTCCCAAGAAAACATTAAAGCACTGTTTAATTTTGTAACTTTTTTGTTTTCTATTTCTATTTTTATTTTTTATTTTTTACAGCACACCAGATAACACTCTAATTTTAAAATTTTGAAAACAAGATCACTTTTCTTGTAACCAAAAAAAAAAAAAACCCTTAAAAACAATTTATCCATCCAATTTTTTTTTGCAAAAAACTTGTAATTTACAAAAGTTTTGGCCTCATAATTCTATTTTGTTTGCATTTTCCTGTCTAAAAGAATGTAGCAGTGCCCAGAAAACCTTCTGTTCTCCCCTCCGCTCGACTCTTCGCACCCATTTGTCTCGTCATGGATGAAAAGGGCATCGAATTTGAGGAAGCTGTCGGAAGTAGAGGTGGCACCAGGGCCATCTCGGCGACAAGGCTAATGGACGGCACGAAGTGACCAGATAAGCCGAACAGTGTAGCACAGTTCAAGAACTACATGGCAAACTTCAGTATTAGCTCCTTGTGGGGAGGCATTCCCTGGTACGGTCGGAAGCAGAGCTCTGACAGCAGGAACGAGAGGTATGACAAGACAATAGTAGCGGCCATGGAGTAGTGGCGCTGGACGCGTAGTCGGTAGGGTCGAGCTGATGCATTGGAAGATCAGGAAGAAGCCGGCGTTCAAGAGACTAGTGGGTTTCCGATTGCAAACCATGTTTTTGTTTTTTTATCCGCTCTGATTTTTCTTTTTTATATTAATATTGATAATTTCATTATTTACAAAAATGTGGTGTTTTAAAAATATTTATTGAAATATGATGTTTTTGATATTATTCGGAAGTCAGTTTCATTATTTTTTGTCTTAAATAATTGGGCAATCAGTTCCATCAAAACCAATTTTTAATTTTTTTTTAAATTTTTTTAAAATATCCAATATTTTTTAAAAATAATTGGAAAGTCGGTTCTAACGGAACCGAATTTCTAACATACTTTCTAATTTTTTTTAATAGTTGAAAAGTCAATTGTTTAGAAACCGACTTTCTAACATGAGTTTTTTTTTGTTGTAAAATAGTTGGAACTTCCAAAGATATTTCATAATTTTTCTCAATTTTATCTTTTATTTAAAAATATAAAATTGAGAAAAATAACAAGAAAAGAGAAAATTCAGAAGTCAGTAACCAACTTCTCAATTCTAATTTTTTAATTTAATTTTGTTTGTGGAACCGACTTGCCAAAACTCTTTTAATTTTTATTAAATTTGTAATAAAATCCTAAAGAACTAATTATTTGTCATAAAACCCAAAGATAT